GTGTACTGGCTCTGCCGTGAGCCCGCCCTGCCGTGAGCCCGCCCTGCCGTGTACTGGCTCTGCCGTGAGCCTGTCTGTGTCCCAGGCTTCACTTTGCTCTCAAGCTGCATGATTTAACATCATTGCCAGATGCCCATTTATTTTTTTGTGTGCAATTCTTGACTGTGGAGAAGGTTCGGCATACCATATATCACCAGCGACACACGCCACAAACTGTGTCCACAACAAGCTTATCAGGGGATCCTGGCTCCCAGAGACCCTCGACCCCACTAAACTGCAGCACACACCTTCCTAAGCCAAACAAACTGCACAACTTTCTGAACGAAATAAGCAACACAGCTTTCCTTTCTTCTGCTCGATTGACACCCATGCTTACACCTAGGAGTTAGTTCAGGGATGTTTTCAGGCAGTGCTGAAGATATGTACTGAAGGAATGCACAGAGCAGAAGCCATGCCAGTGTGCAGCGGGGATCGCCCCTCTCCGCATGTCTGCAGTGGGCACTGCCCACCACCTCTCCCCATGTACCATGAGATCGGGGCCAGATTGGCGCAGCAATCTTTCAACTCAAGCTGCATGTTCCCAGGCAGTCTCCTTGATTTGCTGGAGTTTTTTGCAGGATATAGCAGGAGCATCCCAGCGGGCAGTGGATAACAGGGAGGGGATCCACTGTTGTACCTTTGAGCTGAGTACTTAACCTGAAAGCTGTATAAATGTGTTTGAAAGTCTGAGTTACTTTGCAAAAAAGCTGCTGCTAACTATGCCCCAGAAATCAAGGGCTGGTTGTGGGCCAGCTTCTGAGGCCGGGGGGATGGGGGGTGGTTTCCAGGTCCTCCAAGCAGCCCCAGTCAGCATGTTTCAGCAGGATGTGACCATCATTCTCTCTGTGGGTCTCAATAGTGGGCACATGAGAGCGACCACATTGCAGCCAGCCAGGCATTCTCCATAATGCAGGTGTCTTTTTAATGTAAGAGTATATCTGAAATGTTTGCACTCTTTGTCTCAGTTCTCCTTCGCTTGCACTGCCTTCTCCGTCCCTCCCTTCTTCACCGGCGCGGCCCTCTCCCTTTCTTCTTCACCGGCGCGGCCCTCTCCCTTCCTTCTTCACCGGCGCGGCCCTCTCCCTTCCTTCTTCACCGGCGCGGCCCTCTCCCTCCCTTCTTCACCGGCGCGGCCCTCTCCCTCCCTTCTTCACCGGCGCGGCCCTCTCCCTCCCTTCTTCACCGGCGCGGCCCTCTCCCTGCCTTCTTCACCGGCGCGGCCCTCTCCCTGCCTTCTTCACCGGCGCGGCCCTCTCCCTGCCTTCTTCACCGCCGCGGCCCTCTCCCTCCCTTCTTCACCGGCGCGGCTCTCTCCCTCCCTTCTTCACCGG